CGTACAACATGGAATTCATATAAAACGGAATAATCAATGATCTTATAGGGGGGTCGACTATAAATTAAAATTATTTTTATCATTATGTGTTTTTAAATTACCTTCTGGTGCAATCCATGCAGGACTGTACATCTTTCCTTTTTCTTGAAAAGAAAATTTTGCATCTGCCATATTAATTCTAACTATTAATTCATCATCAATCTGAAAAATAAAAATAATAACCTTTATGTGCCTACTTATATACAAATTTAAGTTTAAGGAATTGCATAATGATAGATTTAAAAATAAAAATATTTATTTAGAAAATGAAAAATATTATTTTAAATGAAAAATAATTCATATTTAAATGTTCTAATTTAACGAAAATCATAAAATGTGGACAAACCATTATGTGTTTACTACTAAGATAAAGTCTAGGAACAAGAGGTTCCAAACAATGAAGAAATGCCATGCCTCTTGCTATATCAATGGCAAATTTTAAAGCTTGTGCTGTATCTACAACAATTCCTGAAAAATAAAACATTATTAAATTATTGATTTTTCTAAATAATACATTTATTTTATAATAAACAAATTACCTGTTCCTTCATGTAAGATTGTATAAAGTGAACCATATGGCATATATTGATTAATAACAATTAAATTTGGTGGGCTATTACAACATCCAATTACTGGCAAAACATTTGGATGGGAAAAAATTCTTAACCGAGGATATTCATCATTAAAATCTCTTGATACTCTATTTGTGACTTCCCGCAATCTTAAAACTTTTGCAACTATATCATTACCTTCCAAAGTTCCTCTCCAAGTCTGAAAAAATTAATATTTGAAAGAACTTAATGTATATTCTATAGGTATACAGTATACAGTATCTATAAACCTATTTAGTCAATAAAACTGTTAATTTAACATACTAAGAGCATTGTCACTTTCCATTAGTTCCACATGGTATCATTTACCTTTAACACAAGATGTGTTGCCATTAAATATTGAGATTTGAGGTCCGCTACTCAGACTTGACATATTCAAATTAAAAGCTAGCAAACCTCCAGACTATATCTGTAGTAATAGTAGTAGTAGCTATATAAATTAACTAACAGAAATGAATTTCTATTTCAGTAGATAATTATCAAGAAAATGGATATTCTTCAAAACATGTTATGTTGGGAAATTAGCTTATTTTATAAATATCTAACAGAAAGAATAATTTGAAATAATAGAATATATTTATTTTTAATAATCATTTATTTAAGAAAATAAATTTGTAAAACTGTCTAGTAATTTAAATTATCTATATGCACTATTTTATTGTGTTTGTCACATTTTTAAGTTTTAGCAGAGAATTATCAATCTTTCAAAACTAATGAAGAAAAATTGTCAATTTACAAATAGAAAGAATGTTGATTTGTCTTGTATTGTATTGTTGTATTATTTTAACTTATAAGTAGCTCTTATGTTCAAGGCAGTAATATACAGATTAAAAATATTAAGGAATATTATAAACTACTTTACCTCTCCTGATGGAGTGCTTGCTAACTTAACTTGCAGATTTAATTCATTAATGTTAATGCCAGAATGTCGAGATAATGTTGCATCTCCTGCAAAATAAATTTTTAGCTTTAAAAAGTTATTTTCAACTACAGTATAATTTCAAAATAGCAGACACCATCTGAACTGAGAAATTTGTCCACTATTCTATTCAGAGGTATATGCTGGAAGCCATATTGTATTTTAACCTGGTTGTTATAAAGCGAAGAATACAAATTACAAAAGCATCAAATTTGTGTTAAGAATGTGAATATACCAAAAAGTATACATAGCATATATTATTTATTTTTTCAGCTGTAAAAATCTCATTCGAATGTTGAGTTACAAAGGCAATTTGTTATCCACTTCAAAGGGTGGGAAATATATTCAGAATTGTTACATTTATAAAGTCATTTATGATCTAAGCAACTAATAAAAATTGATACAGGGATTTGTCTGCTTTGTAGTTATCAAGTAGGTGTAACTTTTCCAACATTTTTTGCAGTTTTCAGTAACTGATTTATTAAAAATTACACTTTAGCCATCACAAAGCTGTTAACATGGTTAAGACAATGACATTTGTTTGGTGAAAGTTCAAAAGTTGTGTTATGAAGGCGATTTGCTGACCACTTTAAAATGTGCAAAGATATTCAGTTTTTTCGCATTTACGATGCCATTTATAATCTTAAGTTTCTTTTTCATTACTCTACTACTGTTCTTGTCAAATGAAACTTAAGAAAAGTTTATAGTTTTTTAGTATCATAAGCTTAATTCCATCAATAAGACAGAAGTTTAATAACATTAATATGTATAACAATAAATGGTGATTGACAATTTAACCAGATTAAACTTCTCCAACATATAAAGAATATTGTTGAACTTCCTCGCTCTTCCCCTATTCCTATTTTAAGCAAGTCTTTATTTGATGCCAATGGTCAAAATTTGTATCTGAAAGAATATTTTTCTTTCAATAGTTACAATAAAAAAAAAAAATAAGATTGGAGCATCAGTTTGTAAAGGTTACTGATACTGATATATCAAGAACATTCCACTTCACCAATATATTGATATGGTTATGATCTCTAAATTATTGAAAAAAGAAAAACCAAACATTCGTTTGGTTTACATTTTGCGATTCTATTTGCCACCTTTATTACTGAGTTAATGATTTGCATCAGGTCTGCTGGATGTTGCATCATATCATATTGAATTGAAAGCGGAAGCAAAATTATGAAAATTTTATATTTTGCAGCACCCCTATGAGGAAGCCACAGCTTCCTAGGGTGCCGTGGCACACACTTTGGAAACTGCTAAATTAAACAATTATTCTTAATTATCAACCAATCATATGCACTTGTTAAAAGTTTCAATTATTATATTTGTTGAAATAATTGTATTTTGTTTCTAAATGTATTCAATCTTAACAGGAAAAACTTTGTTTTGCATAAAAAAGTAAATAAACAGAATTTTTTAAATTCCAATTCTCAGAAGTAAGATATTTCATTGTGGTAATATGATTTATAATATTACATATACTATAAAATTATATATATTTTTAATGCTTTTAATTTCTACAAACATTAAATTTATCTAACAGTTATTACTTTTGTAGACTGTTCATCTTCAGATATTTTTATCAGAATCATATTAGCATTTTATGAATGAAATGAAAATTAATGAAAACATATGATAAAAAATTAATTTGATACACTTTTGATAAAAATTAATTTGAACACAAAAATTAACACTTACTGCTTCTTGTTTTTGTTCCCATCCAACTTTGATCTTTGTATGGTATCTTTTTAAGGTCCTGCCCTGACTGCACTGCTAATTCTAATTATAAAAAGAAAATTATATCTTTTACTAAAAAATAAATAGTGAAAATATATTAATATGTTTAATTATTAGTAAATATCATAATAGTCTGTTTTAATAAATTTTTAATAATTACCATGAAGTTTTTGTGCAAGCTGTCCTTTGCATTTATCCAAAGGAATTTCCCCATATCGGTTTGCTACAGACACAAGTGCACCATTATTTATTAGATCCTAAAATAAAAACTTTTCAGGTTAATTCTTGTTTTTCCAAATACAGTAAATATCAAATTAAATTTAAATTTAAACTAAGCTTCATTTTTGAGAAGAGTTGATGCCAATTTTCTTTGTTTTGCATTATGGCATGCTTGTCTGAGAAATGAATAAAAGTTGGAACCATATTTAAATAAAACCCATGTAGACATATATACATATATATTTATTACTTAAGAAAATATATAGCTTATTTAACAAGCAAATTAGTGATGTATATATATCCATATCAAAATAAACAAAATATAAAACTTTTAAAAAATTTATTCAAAAAACACTTATTCATCTTGGAGGCCAATTTCTGTTTTTTTTTTTTTTTTTTCCTAACCATATATCTTTTGAAATATAAAATAAAATATTATGCAAGATAAAAATAAAAGTTAGGTAACCCAAAATTTAGCAACTGCAGTATACTAATAATTATTTTCTTCAAATATAATAAATTTGTATTATGGGAAAGTAACTATGTCACTTATTTTAACTTAAACAGAATTTATATACTTAAAAAATTATTTAAAAACATACACATACCTCAGCAATTGCTTGATAACTCCAAAAACAAGCATAATGAAGGGCAGTATTTCCATGTTCATTAACTGCATTAATATCTGCTTTATTACGCAACAACTTTAAAAAGACATTTAAATGAAGTTATTTACAAAAATATAAATAAAATATTTGTTATTAGTAATGTAAACAATTTATGATAAAATTCTAAATACATTTTTATTAAATAGATGAACTGGTATTGAATAAATGAAACTATATAATTAGAAATTATGACAAAATACAAAATAATTTATTTAAAAATCATCACTATAATGATATTTTCATTAAAAGATTTTGAAAATTAATTTATTTTTAAAGTAAATATATAAAAGTTAAATTAATACCATGTGGACAATATCTCTATGTCCATGAGCCGATGCAAGATGAAGCGCAGTGTCGTCACCCATATTTGTAGCATTTATCCGAGCACCTCTCTGAATTAACATTTCAACAATATTAGCCCTTCCTTCTTTCGATGCCCAATGTAAAGGGCTAAATCCGTGGTCATCTCTGAAAAAGTAGATATTTTAAATTATAATTTATGAAATTTTAGAAGAATACTGTCATTTTTGCATTACACTTTATTAATTAATTTCATAAAATGTTTATGGCGTGTACGATAGTCTTTATAAATAATAAAAAATTAATAGAAAAAATCTCAAATTAAAACATTGATAAAATACTATCTACATAAATAATAAATGAGAGAATAAAAATACAGTTATATTATTTAAGACACTAATGAATTTATTTCATTTTATATATAGGAATTTCACTAGAATGTTAAATATATATTAAATGGTTTTGTAACATCATATTAAGGAATTAAATTTTAATAATTTTACAAATAAACAGTTATTTAATGTTGCCAACAGGTCGTTCAATCTGGTCGAAAATGGCAAACAGTTACCGTACCATTTTTCTAAATGCAATTTAAGATAACCGACAATTCTATTAAAAATTCACGTAAATTTCTCCTACTGTTAAAGAAATATAACAGCCAATATTAATAAAAACAAAGAGTAAAAAAATTCAGTTAATTACGCAAAAAAACTTACATAACTTATATTTTGAAAACCACTGAAATATTTGAGTTTACTTTTTATATTCTATTAATTCTATTTGCTTTGAAATAGTATTTCTTAAAAATATATATATTTTTTTAAGTTACCACTCAGTCTATCAGAAACATTGTCAGCATTTGTTACATTTATGTCTATCATTTCATATATAATTAATTGCTGTATGTTTTTTAAACTCTTTCTGACCCATAGGCACTAAGTGGACCCTTTTAACGAACCCATTACAGTCCACGA